TTATTAAAAAATAAAAAATATAATTTTTTTAAAATATAATGTTAAAATATAATAAATAATTATATTAAATTAATATAATATTAATTATTTATATTGTAATAATAACCCACCCTTTTCACCCTTCTTAATTATGCCAATAACAACCTAAATAAAGTAGGATAAGAGAGTAAAATCAACGATTTTTTTTTTCTTTGTCTCTCTCCTTTGTTCATTTCTCTTTTCAGAAAGTTTAGGTCGATTAAAATATGACCTTTTTAGCAATTTTATAAACATCTGTAGGTTTTTTTTAATAAGTGATACACACTACCAAAGGATAGAATACATATAAATTAATTAGTTTAAATTAATGCTTAAATCTTTAAATTTATAAAATTATAACTTTTAAATCTTTAAATTAAAAATTTTAAATGAAAAGTATATATTAGTTTTGATTCCTAAAAATAATTAGAATCTTAACCTTAAATATTAACAAATTACTTTAAAATTTATTAGGTAGAAGATTAGGAATAATGATAAAGTAAAAAAATGTTTTTGAGATTCTAAAGATGGGAAAAATGTTTATAAATCGTATCCATAAAAAATTAAGTAAAAAAAATCTCATAACTATATTATTTAATAAATTTTCATTTAAAAAGATTAAAATATTTAAAATTTTAAAGTAAAAATAAATTTATTTTAATTTTTTCTTATAATATCATATTAAAATAATATTATTTTGAGTATTTTTTATTTAACTTTTTTATAAATTTAGTTAATAAACACTAATTTCTTTAAAAATTGTTCTCTTCTCATTGGAATAGTTTTATAGCTTAAGGAAATTTAAACTCATAACACTGCCAAAGAAAAAAACATTGAGCAACCCTTAATTTACTGAAACCTATAACTATCATAAAACTAATATTAAAGTGTTATTGAAAAAAGTTGCCACAAAATATCTAAACTTTAAAAAATCAAATAACACACTGTATAATATGCTAATACTTCAACAACACTGTATGTTTTTATTCTCTCATTCAACTTTGACCGAACTAACTTTTAATATGAGGTATTTAAATTTAATTGTTTAAATTTTTAAGATATAATTTAATATTTTTATTTTTATTTTAAAAAATAATTATAATATATATTAATAAAAATTTAATTAAAGCGTGATTAATTTAAAATAAATATAAAATTTATTAATTAATTATTATATTTTTATTTTATTTGATAAAAAAATAAACTTACTAATAAAGTTGAACAAATAAAGCATAAAAAAAT